AATAAGTTCAGTATGTGGGGAAGATTTTCAAAATACACTCTTTATCTTGGTTGATTGAAATCGTCTCGTGTTTTCTTTGGGAACAATGCTTGTTAAATTTAAATCATTGCATTTAAATTAAATAAATGTTTATATAGTACATGATATACAATTAATTGTAACGACTTAATGTTTAATTATTTTATTTCTTCCACCTAATCTAAATTACTGAGTTCAAAATTAGTAGAGAGACTTGACCGATAATTCAAAACCATGAGCATTGATGTTTAGTGCATGATAAAAATGGTGACAACTTAATGTTTAATTATTTTATTTCTTTCACCTAGTCTAAATTACTAATAAAAGAAAGAGAGAGAGAGAGTTCTCTTTGCTAATAAAAGCTCCTTGCTTTATCATACTTTGCGACCATGGCAGGTAAAAGAGCGATGCCCTTCTCTGTTGGTGTTCCAGACTCGTTAATTACTGCAAGGATGATCTTGCATGGCAAAGCATATACTTCATGGGAGATAGATCCGAGGGTTTGTCTGACTGGGTTTAAATCAGGTCACCAGGATCACTAAAAATTCTGAGATTAGCAATATCAACCTAAATCACGAATCTACTGAATCAATCCACCAAATTAAACCAATTCTAACAACTATTAATTAATAGATTAGGAAACGTGATAGCTCACTGGTTAGCAGAAGCTGGCAAAATCCATGAGGAAGAACAACTGTCCCCTGTATTGGATATAAAGATGCTTCGGTTGCTTGATAAATTCAGATTATTGAGCTGTTAAGAAAAGGTGATGCATGGAGGATTCGCGTTAATGCTCTGAATAAGAGATAAATTAGGGTAAGATGGATGGTTGTTATAAGTGGTACAGGGCAGTATAATTTTCACAAAATTTCAAGGCACCACAGAAAGTTACTTCTAAATTTACACAGACCAGAAAGATAATGAAGTCCTGTTTCATTGCAGATGGTTACAGTAGACAAGCAATACAATATTTGATTTTTCAAGGCGAGATCGATCTAGGGATGAGAACGTCCCCGATGTTGTTGTGCCATGGGTCCGCCAAGTGAGTTGCCAAGTTCTCCAATGGTCCAGTACCAGGATAAGCTGTTTGTTGCACACAGATCCCAACAAATGCCAACAGTGCTAGACGGCCTGCAACATCAAATGCAGATTGGATTAATACTAATAATACAAGTACGTACAGAACCACATGCCAAGATTGTGAGATTACCGTTCTTAATTTCCTTGACTTTGTATTCCTCGAACTTCTGAGGGTCCTTGGAGTATCCTAGAGGATCAAAAGCACCACCAGGGTACTTCTTCTTCTCCGTGTCTTTCTCCATGCTACGTTGGTGCTCAACAAAGGCAATGGCAACGAATTCAATGGCCAGAATGATAGGAAGGGTTCCCCATGGAACTGGTTGGCCCAGATAAGTAGCTTGGCCACCTGGAGTTGCAGCCCACTCTTGAGCTTTTACCCAGTTGCCCAGACCCAGGGCCTCTGGTACCAGAATTCCAGGCTGCAAAATTAATTCAAATCAATTTAGTTAAAAGTAAATCTATACTCCACTAAGATTTGGACCATGGTTTAGCATCTTAGCATCTGCAAAATCACCTTTTCTAACACGGATAACCACATGAAAATTAAGGAATCATTTCGTTACGTAGCTTCTTATTTCTATTTCTAGACTGTATCATACCATACCATACAACTTCAACAGCTTTACTGATGGATAACTTGAAACGTGGAAAGTAAAAGACAACTGAAATTAATGGAAGACTTACAACAGCGAGCATAGCCCATCTGCAGTGAATGAGTTCGGACTCCTTGTATCTCTCCAGATTCTCAGGGACCTCGCCCAGTCGAAGTGGGTCGAACCCAAAGTCACTGCAACGCACCAGCCCGACAAACTCATCAGCAAAAAATGTTCACAGAATAACACACATGCCGGGTAACATTATTAAATAATAACAATAATAAATCAAGGTTTCAATTAATAGTCCGTGAAGCTATTATATAGCAGCTGTATCTACCCGGGGGCTGAGCCATCGAGGTAAGGTGGACGAGGCTGGCCAGGCATCCAGTTAGCAGACATGGTGACACGAGAGGTGCCATTGACACTGGGAAGTGGAATTGAAGAGGCGAATTTGGACTTTGAAGATGAAAGAAGTGAAGGGAAAGCGGTAGCAATGCCGCAGCTCATCAGTGTATTGGTGGCCATTCTCTTAGAATCCGTGAACAAGTTTGAAGCTGCGTTTGTGAGACTGGTTGATGGAGAAATTGAGGTCAGTACAGGTAATATCGTAGGGAGGGATATAGGCAAAATCCAAATGTGGATTGTTATTGGTTAAGGAGACTTGCTTGGGATTTGTTATTGGGCCACGTTGGATATGTTAATCTGGTTAGTGGGGTACGTGTGATATCCAGTGGATATGTGGATGAGATTGAGTGCAAGCTACAAAAATCAAAGGTTCATTTCAGGGATATGAAAACGGGCAAAAAAACGATTGTCCTCTGCCTCACGAGTCACCACCCGGGGTATGCAGTGGTTTGGGTATGAAGTCGGTATACGACCCGATAAATACTCCTCGATAATGTTGAGGTGGTATTTGATACTGTGGCAATGCATTTTAAAAAAATAATTTTTTAAAATTAATTTATTATTATTTGTTATTTTTTAAATATAGTAATATTGAGAATATTATTTTTATGAATTTTTAAATAACAAAACAATCATTACCGCTATAATAAACAAGCTGTAACTAAGTAGAGAAACTGTTATGAGTAAAAACAAGAGTGGCTACTTTACACCGTGATCGTATCATTACACTGCTAAAATTATATGCAAATATTTAAATGAAAAAACCTTTTAATGTGAAGATTATATATATTTTTAATTTATATTTGTGTTGGTTAATTTTTTTTTTGTGATTTTAATTTGATCAGTTAATTTCTATGCTCTTTGAATTTGATTAGATAACTCTTTTTTTTTTTTTGAATTTATCTAATTAGCCATGCAAGCAGATGTGATATATTGAATACTTTTTATTCATGAGGTGTTTTATATATATATTCCTGTAGAATCTGTATCACTAAATAAATTGGTCTGAAATAAATAAATCTCATTAATTGTAAGGTGAATAGTATGAAATAAAAATAAAAAGAGCTGATTCCTTGAAAGATTTGTAAAGATGGGAAATGGTTCAGTCTGGGAATCTATTCGGTATTGTAGTAGCTATTATAGTTATGATTTGAAAAAAAATTATTTTATAAAAAACAATTTAATTGGAGTTGGTTTAAAAAAATAGATATTTAATTAAAATTATAGTTGAAAAAAAAAAAGTTAATGCGTTTGGTTAAGAATACTTTTGAAATTGAGATTATAAGATAATTTTAAAAAATACATATTAATATTAATGGTTTTAAATTTAAATGTTGTTGATTTAACTATTGATATTACATCATGAAATAAATCATATGTTATATAATTTTTTTTATTATTTAATTGAACTATTTATAATCCCATGTTTGAAATACACTTAACAATTTTCTTGGTTTTTTTAACACACAACAACATAACTTGTAAATTATATTTAGGAACAAATTAGAATTATGATCAAATACTATATTATCAAGTGAATAAAATATAATTAAAAATAAAAAATATTTTTTTATTTTACTTGGTATCATCTGATTTAATGTATTTTGAGTATTAGACTAGATCCGGTCAAACTAGAATAGAAATGCTATACTACACTATTTACTGAACAGCAAACACATGGTTGAATTTTTTAACCGTGCAAAAAAATAATAGTTTTCTATTTTTTATCTCCCTGTACTTCGTATAATAAATCTTATAATTTATTATGATACTTATAAATAAATTTTTTTATCTTGAACAAATATTTATTTAATGTGTATTTTAAAAAAACACAAAAACCAACGCATAGCCAAACGGATACTTAATGGCAACGAAAATCAAGATTTGGAACATAACTAAACCAATAAAACGGGGTGGTTTAAAATCCACGTATTTTCCTCAGGCAAACCAATAATTGACTGGCATGTGTAAATAATATTTTAATATTCAATCATGATGCCAGGAGAGAGGTTAATGCTTTTTTTTTTTTTTTTCAAGCAAACACATCTTATTGAAGATTTCTCAAAGTTAATATTTTTCAAGCAAAATAATATTTTAACAATTAAAACCATGTCATTTTTGAACTATTCTAAACAGCGGTTCGAGAGATTTTTGACAACGTAAAAACACACCTCTTCCCGCCAAGGAAAACGCACTCGTAATTTATCACCAAAAACCCTGATTATTTATTTTTTTATTCATTTTAAAAACACCAAACAAGATCGAAGGGGTTAAAAATTAAGAAATACAGTCTCAATTAACACGTAAATTAATAAGAATATTTTTAACGTAGAATTAAAAAAAAAGTTTAATCTTTAATCTCCCTTGAAACCAAACAAAGCCCAAGGCACCGAACCGATGCATGACATGAAAAGTATTGCAAAGTTAGAGAAATGTGAATCATAAAGTTCATACCAGGGAATTGGAGCGACTATTTGTAAACAACTCTATCTTTCAAAATTCAAACAGAGGTCAGAATTTGGTCCGCGGCATTCAACGTTTAACTAGACTGGCGACGCGTTCAATTCCTATTCGCCCATAAACTAGAAAAAACCAATCAACGAACCAACCATCATAGTGCCCAGTAGGCACTACCTCGTCTGATCTCCTCTCTCCACTACCGCCACCTTTCACATTCCACAGCCACACACAGCAAATGAATACAACTCGAGAAAAACCTTCACACAGAGCTCCTCTCCTAACCACCTCCCCTCTGTTGCCATATCTTCCTTCCATTTCTATCTTCTCCTTTTTGTCTTTTTTCTTTCTTTTCACGCAATTAAACCCCGAAAATTATCAATATCCGAATTAAACCCCCGAAATTACCCGCACTCGCAATCTAAAATGGCTAATGTAAGCACTCGCAATCTAAAATGGCTATTTTGACAGTGGCGTCGTCGTCGCCGATGCCTGCTCGAGCTCTATTTAGAGAATCCAAAACGGCGACGACGAAAAAGATTTTGAAACGGCAAGGAGTTCGTGTTGTAGGAAATTTCAGTCACTTTGGAGATACGGTGCGCAAGGATTTCGAGTTTATCAAAAAAGGAATTAATAAAGGAATGGACTGGGCAAATGAAGCATTTCGAATTCCGCAAGTTTCCAAAACCCTAGACGACATTTTATGGCTTCGAAATCTTGAAGATCATAATTCTCCTCCAATTGAACCTCAATCCTGGCCTCAACCTTCATATCCATATTTATAAGTTGCTTCTTTTATTTATTTGGTTGTATTTTGATGTGAGATGCATGTGTTATGTGCTAACAGGACTTACCGGTGTGGATTTGCTGATGGCTGATCTTAAAGCATTGGAATCATATGCTCGTTATTTTTATTGTTTGTCTAAGATTTGGTCCAAGCCATTACCTGAAGTCTATGATCCTCAAGAAGTTGCTGATTACTTCAATTGTAGGCCTCATCTTGTCGCTTTTCGACTTCTCGAGGTATAATGCTTCTCTCTCATCTGTTAAGGTTTATTCACCGGTAGCAAGTGGTTTTTTTCTCATTAGATTTTATAGATTGATTAATTGATGGCCTGCCGCATCGTTGGCATGGATAAGCAGCTATTTAGGTTATGAAAGAGTAATGGTGGGGACGCCAGCAATTGTTCCAACACTTGTTTGCTAATTTTTGTAGTTGGTAAAGTAAATTTAGTATAAATGTTAGTATCTAGTAGTATTCGTTGTGAAATATGTTTTTATTATATTTTTATTTTGCGTGCTGGAAGGTGTTTACTGCATTTGCCACCGCAACTATAAGAATTCGAGCCTCAGGGATGAGAAAGTTTTCAAGATCAAGTTCCGATGAGGATGTAAATGGGAACATTTCACAGTACGATTTGGGGATGGTATTAAAAGAAACAATGCTAAATTTGGGTCCCACTTTTATCAAAGGTCAGAATTCTTATCTGATTCCAAATGTTACAATTCCATGTCCTCTCTGGTAACTGTTACTCCTTACATTAATTTGTTCTTCTTCTTGTTCATTCTTGCAATGCTCTTGAAATTATATGCTGGCCATTTATTGCTATCCTGCAGTCACAAGATTACCAATATGCTAGTTACATGCCTTTGCTTGCTGATGCAGTTGGTCAGTCTCTTTCCACAAGGCCAGATATTATTGGTACTGAAATTACCAAGGTTAGGTGGTGTACATAATTTTTCTACCTTACTGTTTTCTAAAGTGTATCTTTTGTCTGCATAAAATGCATAGGCAGTTCCAAATGTTTTAATATGCATGTGTGTGTTGTCATGAATTGGTTCCCGGGAATGAAATGTCTCGTCTTTCCCTGTATGTTTTGTTGTATTTTTCTTTTTAGTGGTTTCTGGTCAAATGGATATCCTTTGTATCTTCAAGACCCTTATAAATATATTTTACTGTGTCTTTGTGACAAAATTACCAAGTGGAGTCAAATGCCTAGGTTCAAAAATTAACATATACTAATTTAGTCCTTGAACAAATTCTTTTAGACTTATGTATTTATGCTGTTTGTGATGTGTATCCTGGATGAATATTTCATACTGCGTTTGTATGTAAAAATTATCAAGTGGAATCAAAAGCTTAGTGAAAAGATTTCCTGACAAGCTTTTAGGTTTGAGTATTTATGCTTTCCAGAGTGTGTTTGTGCCAGCTGTTACCTTTTTGTGTGTTGGAACTGGTGATGTCAAGTGTATATTCGGTGAAAAAGTTTCTTGTATGAATTCTTGCATCTGTATAGTGGGGGCGTCCTTGTAGATTGCCATCATCATGATTGCACTATGAAGTTCTATTATTGGATGTGTGTAATTAATAAGATCTGTGTTTTGAGTTATGAATGCAGGCACTTTCCGGACTGCATGATCAAATACCTCCTTTTCCCAGGACCTTGGCTATGAAAATCTTTGAGGAAGAATTGGGTTCTCCTGTTGAATCATTCTTTAGCTATGTATCCGAGGAACCTGTAGCTGCTGCATCATTTGGTCAGGTGGATCTTTGCCTAGTTATTCTTCCACATTGACAGAGATGTTGCTAATTATACAATAGATAAATATGTTTGCAGGCTTGTATTTTCAACATCTTAACGTTTTTCTTGCTATTACTGGCTACACATTTAGGTATATCGTGGAAGCACCCTTGATGGTCGTACCATTGCTCTGAAGGTTCAGCGTCCTAATCTACATCATGTTGTAGTTCGTGATATCTACATAATTCGGCTCGGGGTTTGTACTAATCTAAATTTACCTCTCTCTCTCTCTGTACATATAGTTCACAAATAATTTAGTTACAAATGTTTTCAGTTGGGCCTGTTGCAAAAGATAGCAAAGAGAAAAAGTGACCTTCGCCTCTATGCTGATGAGCTTGGGAAAGGCTTAGTTGGGGAGCTGGATTATTCTATAGAGGCTGCCAATGCCTCCAAGTTTCTGGTACTCACAGGTTTTCCTTTCAAGTTAAACTGCTCTCAGTTTAGTTATATTGCAGAGAAGAAAAATAGTAGAGGTTCCATGAATGCTGAACTTTTTGCCACCGTGCAGGTGGCATTAATCAAATTTTGCAGTGGAACAATTTATTTGGTGGTCATGTCCTCTCTGTATTGTTTTGGGGATGGGAGTCCATGTGCTGATGACTGACTCTAAGGAAATTGATCCAAATTGTTAATTTAGATTGTTCATGATAGGGTGTAGTCTAACCACGCTGTCCAGACTGGTATCTTTGTGTATAACAGTAGAACATGGCCTCGATTCTCTTTTTCTGTTGTTACTTTTTCAGGAGGGGTATTAATATAAAGTGGGATATCCTTCTAATAAGATCACTCTAAATACACTTTCAAACTCAGAGAAAGGCAACCTTTCTATGCTGAGAGATGGAACAGCAGCTTCTCTGACAGATTTAATGAGGGAAAAGTAGAGAGTGGTTTCAACTCTGAAAAGAAATCTGTTTCTAGTTTCACTTAGTAAAATGACTGACTTTGTCGAGTGAGACATAAATGTGATTAACATAAAGAATTAGCTGTGTTTAAGTCACATGGGTATAGTGGGTGATATGCCTCACATATTTAGCCATGGAAATTATGATTCCAGCTAGTATCTAGGACAAAATGCTCATGCTTATTACTACATTTATTTTCTCTGCAGGATGCTCATTCCTCATTCTCATTCATGTATGCTCCAAAAATATTTCCAGATTTAAGCCGAAAGAGAGTTCTGACAATGGAGTGGGTGGTTGGTGAGAGTCCAACTGATTTACTATCTCTGTCTACTAGTTCCGCACATTCAGAAAGACAGAAACTTGAAGCAAAAAGGCGTCTCCTTGATTTGGTGTGTGATAATAATGATTTTATCTTTGCCTCTGTCATTTGTCCCATTATTTGGTGCTTTGTAATCTGCTAGAACCCCCTTTTTTACAACGATAAAATCTAGGGAAACTATACTTTCAACTGTTCCAGGTTAGCAAAGGAGTAGAAGCATCATTAGTTCAACTCCTGGAAACAGGCTTATTGCATGGTGATCCACATCCAGGAAACTTGCGTTACATATCATCAGGACAAATAGGGTATGGTTTTGGCCTTCCATGTCCTTGAATAGATAAAACTCTGCTTTCTGTCCTAGCTGAACTTTATTTGATTATTATATCAATAATTAAGTTTGTGGCTTCAAAATCTGTCTTCCTCCTGACACATAAACATCAACTAACTGTTAAAATTTGACAAATTAGTTTCCAGCAAGCTCTGAATCTCCTTATATTCATGGCTTTATTACCTCTCCCACTAATTTCTGTGGCAGTTTCCTGGATTTTGGATTACTTTGCCAGATGGAAAAGAAGCATCGGTTCGCTATGCTTGCTGCCATAGTTCACATTGTAAATGGGGACTGGGCATCCCTTGTGCATGCTCTTATTGACATGGATGTTGTGAGGCCAGGGACTAGTATCCGGCGTATTACAATGGTATCATATTTGCATTGGGTTAACATGATCAAGTTCAAAATAATTTTTTCGAGTGCTCAACTTCTGGGACTTCCTTTTGATATCACTGATTGTTCCTATGAATAATACAGGAACTGGAAAATTCTTTGGGAGAGGTGGAGTTTAAAGATGGAATACCTGATGTCAAGTTCAGTAGGGTAAGATAATGTGTTGAGGACATATGACTATTGTTGTCTTGTACTCCTGTGCTTTCCCACAAGTAATTTTTAGTCCTGTACTTGTGCTTTTCCAGTATCCTCAAGGCAAGAACTACATATGACAGCCACCATGGAGTAGCTAATTTATAGAAAGTGACTTTGAATGAGAAAAAAAATTACCGTACTTATTTTATGCATCAATGCAGACCCCATTTAGTGGCTGCAAGCCTGGAATCCTGGATTCTTCTTAAGACAAGGTCACTCTGTTAGATGATCGGTGTTTTGAATCTAACAATTAGAAGATTAGGATAGTCAAAATTATGTGCCCTTTAGAAGTACTGGAATCTGGACATAAATTATAGGTGTTGATCATATGATTGATCCCCAACTAGGAATATGTTTCAATATTATATTCCATTGTTAATTTAAATGCTGAAGGATTACAGATTAGTCTGCTACAATGCATATCTGGTTATTCATTGTCCATTCTACTCAATATTCAGCACCAACTAAATAAAAATCCCTCCCTAACTTCCATGGAATTGGTTTGTTTTCAATTTTTAGTTCCTTATGCTTTCTTCACCTTTCCTTAAATTTTCTCGATTTCATTGTCGTACAAAATTTATTTGGATGCTTTATATAATCAAATGGCTGATTGTGACTACAATTTTGAAGGTTCTGGGAAAAATATTGTCTATAGCGATCAAAAATCATTTCCGCATGCCACCATACTTTACTCTTGTGCTACGTTCTCTTGCATCCCTAGAAGGTAAGTTGATGAAAGCCATATTTTATAGCTCCCATCTATATATTTCAGTATTACCTGTAGGATTGCATCATATGCTTCCGTTTCCATGCATCATTTTACTTTCTTTTGAAACATACTATTGAATTAAAAGTTGCTATATTTTAGTAACCAGGGAATTTCATTTTCTGTAAATAAGCCTGAATTAGCTTTTGGGTGACATTTGGCGGTTCCAGCTCTAGCAAACAATTTGGTCATGGCTTGGATACGTTATCCAGGAATTAATAATTAGGGTTTGCGGAGGTTGGGTTCATCCACTTCTTTTATAAGATTCATTTAGTTCTCTCATTTCTCACGTAATTTCACATTTGTGTTTATATGTGTGCATTTGTCATGTCACGTGAACTTTAAAGAGGCATAATAAAAACTTGTCAGCAAGGAGCTGGTTCTCAAGAAGAATTCAGATTTATTTGGCACATTGTAGTATTTTGATCAATAAAAGATGCTTGGTTCTCTGGCAGATGTTCTGTAACACATTCCAAATATATAGCTCTGACTCTTACATGAGATGGGGCCTTTCTAATAACAATAAGTAGGCTCATCTAAGCAAAATGCAGCACAAAAGCCCTCCCAGGGGAAATTCCCTCTGAGATTCCACAGAATTTTCAGTTTTGTTGTGCTAACTGTAACATGATCTTAACTGAAAGCCAACAGTCTTAGGACCTGAGAATAGCTAAATTTGTTTCTCTCATTTCTCATCCTAACAATAGCTACAACTGCCAATTGCTTTGATTTTACTTTCTCAGGTTTGGCAGTAGCTGCAGATCCAAACTTTAAGACATTTGAAGCTGCATACCCATATGTTGTTCGGAAACTTCTCACTGAAAATTCTGCTGAAACAAGGAAAATTTTGCATCTGGTATCATTATGATTTACTGATCTACTCTCATAGTCTCTGTCCCACCGAGATAATTATTGATTTCCTTGTTGTGTGTTACAGTTCATGTGAGCTATCTAAAATGTGAAAGAGAAACTTTGAAATATTAGTTAGTTTTGACGCATACAAGTGATTAAAATTGGAAGTTAAAGGTTGTGAATTGATGAGTTTCATGGCTGTTTCCCAAAAGACCAGTGGCAGGGATATTCTCCTTCTCTCAATGTTCTGCATTTTCCAGGCACATACTTCCAAAAAATAATAACTTCTCCCATAATTTTCTCTGTGACTTAATAATCTTGGCATGTTAGTTGTCTCTGGGTCGCAGAATACTTGTGACTTGATAATACATCCTTTACTACACAGAATGCTGAAACTGGGTCTGTAGAAAATTTCTGATTCCATCAGAACCACTGTGTCATGTGCTATTTATTTATTTTTGCTATTCAGGTGGTTTTGAACAAGCAGAAAGAATTCCGGTGGGAGAGGCTTGCTCTTTTCCTAAGAGTAGGATCCACCAGGTATAACAAGAAATCCCTAAAATGTTGTCCTATGTGATACTATCTACTATTTAAGATATCCTATGTAGGACACAATTAAAAAAATCATTTCATCGATGTTAATCATTATCTCTCAAATAGTCTTCATTTTCTTGTGTTCTTTTTGTTAGTTTTGCTTTTGTGGAAAACAAGAAATATATTTGCAGTGTAAAGTTTTATGGGTATTCACATGATGCAGCATATTCGATTCATGAGAACCAAAAATACCATAAATTACTTCCCATTGTCACCCATTCTCATTTGGCACTTTTGATTGCATATGTTCTTCATTGTCTATCTTTCTATCATTATTACATCATCTAATACATGAATAAATACTTGTACTTCTGCAGGAAAGCCTTCAGTCGGGTGATAGCATCAAAGAATGAAAGTTCGCTCGATTATTTACCAAATAGGTCTGGTGGTGTTTTTGATACTGCACACTTAGTACTGAGACTTTTACCATCGAGGGATGGTATTGTGCTTAGGAAACTTCTAATGACTGCAGTGAGTGAATTTGAACCAGAAACTTTTCATGAGATACTTTCTTATTTTTATTAGTGCTTTTTTTGGTGCTCCCCAGTGATGAGATTTCCTCTTATGCTATGTATATATTTTTGAAGTGGCTTATGGCATCATTGTCTCTCATTTTATTTTCTAACAATGAATTGGACTCATTTTGCATTTCAACAAACAGAATGGAGCTTCATTAATCCGAGCAATGGTTTCCAAGGAGGCAATTTTTGTCAGACAGCAGCTTTGCAGAGTTATTGCTGATGTACTATATCATTGGATGACTCAAACTTTTGGACGAGGCATTATGGCAACCTGGTATGGTTCCCAAGTAAGATTGACCAGTGAGGCTGATAACAGAGAGCTGAGTCCATCTTCCAGGTTAACTGTACCGGTTTATGATTATCAGTCCATATTTAGAGATCGACGCCTCAAAGTGATCTTTTCCAGGATACTAGATTCTGCAAGGAAAGATCCAGTGTTGATGCTAAAATTCTACTGGACTACATTTGCTATGATTGTCTCAGCCTCAGTTAGGGCTTGTCACCGGGTTTTGGTTTCTCTGTCCGAGGCTACTTTGGCCCCTTCTCGCTTTCTCCCAAGAGTGGCAATTAGTGCATGAAATTCATATTTGGCCCTTGCAATCCTCTTCAGAAGAAGAAGATTTAATGCAGACATCCCCCTTGACTGTAGATTTTTGGAGAGCAGAGAATGCGGGATAGAATGGTAATAGGAAAACTAGGTGCTCTTTGCTTATAATGCTAATAGGAACACCAAGTACTTTTGCCTTAAGTCGGATTTTATGACATCAAGGTATGATGAGCCCACCTCTGGTGCTTACCCTGACTCCAGTGAGGTGGGTTTCAAGTAGTTGGTGCCAAAATTCTTTGAACTGCAAATAGTGGGCATCATCGAACTCGGTATCGTCAAATTCTGGACAACATTGAGGTCAGTCAATGAATCGTGGCAGACTGAGGATTGGTATGTACAAGATAAGAACTGTATTAGCCATATACTTCGGTTTCTATAAAGTCAATGCCTTTGAAATATGTAACATGTAGCATTGGTATGTGACATACGATGTGCAAGAGGCCAGTAGCTTTTGTGGTTGAAGGTCACTGCTGAATTCCACGCTAACTCTGAAAACATCACTTATTATTTTCTAGCCATCTTGGGCCTTTTTTCCTAACTGGTCATGACACGATAAAATTTATGATGTAGATGGGAAAACTGCCACGTCTTTCCTCGTACCATTCTATGCAGTCGTAACTAACTTAAGGTTGTGGAAAAGACGTATTTTGCTCATTGAAGTTACGTGGTAGATAAGGCATCAGTTGAGCGAATTGAAAACGTGAATTTGTGATTCATTGCCGATCTAAAGAGGTAATTTCGTTGTTGATATTGTTTTTAGCCTAGATTTTTGCCTGTATTGGTGATTCGCTTGGGAATTGCAATGCGATGCCGCCATGGTTGACTAAAAGCAACAAAGACTACATCGAACTTAGAGAGGGTTGCTTGCATCTTCGGCTAGCACAAGGTGTCTTGTCGCGTCCATCATCTATTATTTTTTAGATTTAAAAAATATTTTTGCAAAATTTTTATTTTTTTCAATTATTTTAATATGTTGATGATAAAAATATTTTTTAAAAATAAAAAATTACATTCTTAAGCTTTAATATCACAGATACATTGCGTCATTGTAAAATTACAGTTTAAAAGACGATACTTAAATGCGCTTTAATATCACATATACATTGCTTAATTGTAAAATTACAGTTTAAAAGACGATACTTATCATGGAAACAAGTAATTAAAATAATACTTTTGGTTATAAAATTGCAGTTTAAAAGACGATACTTATCATGGAAACAAACAGGTAATTATAAATCTCAACCATATAATTAAATTAAAAAAGAAATAGCACTATAAACATTTATAAAGTTTTGGTTTAAATCTACTCATCGTATTATCAATTTAAATAAGAAATTATTTATCAAAAATAATCAATTTAAATTTAAATTTAAATAAGAAATTATTTATCAAAAACACATCAGTTAAAAAACATAGTTATGATACCAAATTCAAGATCTTATCCAGTTCAAGATCTAAATTGCATGTCGTTATTTTATTTTGAGATTATAAAAAAAACAGTATTATTTTGGACATAACTTGAGAAAAAAAAATCTTTAAATTAACATAACCGATCAACCAGCTTATAAATTGATCGTCCTCTAAATTTAACTAGGTAAACTGTCGGAAACGAGATCACCAGGCGCCGGAACAACTTTAATAACTGTCTTCAACTGAATCGTCTAAAATCCAGTAGAGTGGTTTGATAACAATTTTTAACAGTTAAAAAAAAAAAAAGAGTTAAAACGGCAAGTCGTTTTGAGAACCAATATAACCCCAGTTTCTGATCTGGAAACCCGGGCCTAAGATAAGTTGAAACTCCCTTTCTTCTTCATCACTAAGCAAAGTCAGAGATCCCAGATCGTCTACCTGTTCTATTTTTCACCAAATCAAACAGTGACCTTTTCAAAACCCTATATCTCTGCATTATGAGCTCTCAATCCATTCTCGGAGTAATCTCCCCTATCTCTCTCTTAAATTCCCTCCGTTTCTCATCGCATCTCGACCTGATTAACCTTATTGTTTTCTAATGGCAGGGCGCGAGCTTGTTTACAGGATTCACGAGGCTATGCAAAGGCCTCGCGGTGGTTCTCGTCGCTGGTCACATTGTTGTTCAGATTTTCCCCTCCGCTATTAACTATCTTGCTCTTATTCCTGCCAGGTAACGAACTTTTCAATTCTTGAATTCCTTGCGGTCCTGTTATTCAGATTGCAATCAGTAGAGTAAAGTGGAAAAATGGTGTTTGGTAATAACATGTTATTGATTAAAGATGGTAAAGGATCCGGAAGCGGTAACGTGAGGCAGGCAGATACTAGAAGCAATAACACACACACTTACAGCGTAGACTCGAGGAGTTAAAAAGAGTTACTAATTGAATCCTGTTATATCCATGAACTTGTACATACCTTTCTTGATTATTTCAATGTTGATTTGATGGAATTTTTTTTTCTTGTTCTTAGTCCTGGAGGAAGCAGCTTGAAAGAGAGGGCTGCATTGCCAAGCTGGATCTTTTCGAGATTTTTTTTTTAAAACACTATAGTTCAGGACTTGACTGGATAATTGATTATAAATCTAGTTCTTTTTTTAATTACTTAAAAATCATAAAAACAATGGGCTGGACCACTGCTGCAAGTCAAATACTGATCACGGTGCACTACCAATGTTAATCACTTCGGACCACAGAGCCTTTAAAATGGGCGTGTCTTACTCGCATGTCTCCATGATCTCACCTTTTAGAACACAGGATAGATTAATTTGCATGATGCTTTATAACTTGCTTATTTTGGTGTAATTGCCTGCATTATTAGCAATCACATCCTTGTGGTTGGTTTGGCTCTACCATGGTACGATGAACAGCTGATCATACGTGATTTTCTCTTGAAATTAGTGAATATCAATGAAGAAATACTGTCAAAGAAAAAATAATTGCTAGTATAGGGGATCAGAGATAGAGACAGCTATGGACCTACTATACTCGATTACCCCCTGTGCTAGGCTGTGGAGATTGATAACATTCATTCAGTATGCTCTATATGTATGATCTTCATTTCAATGGTGAGGAAATCTATTCCTTAACAGAAATTTTGTTTTGCAGGACGATTCCTTTTGCATGGAACCTCTTAACAGCTGGTTACATCGAACAATCGATATATGGAGTATGTAGTTCATCTGTTGATAATGCTATTCTTTGTTTTGGTTTTGCCTAAACTGCCCCATGGCTTTTATATTTCCTTCATAAAGTTGCACTCATCATTAAATTCTCCTGTAGGTGGTTGCAAGCACTTTATGCCTCCTCATCATGGGAAAGCTTCTTGAGCCAGTATGGGGTTCTAAAGAGTTCTTAAAGTTCATTTTCATAGTCAACTTTCTTATCTCTGTCTGTGTTTTCATAACCGCTATTAGCCTGTACTACATAACAAGGCAGGAAAATTACCTGTAAGCATGTGCTTCCTAAATGTTGTTTTTTTTTTGGCTTGTGCAACTCTTTCTATTACCATTGTACTGATTCCCTTTGTTCTTTCTGGTAGTTACATGCCCATTTCTGGCTTCCAAGGAATCCTGGCAGGTTTCTTGGTTGGTACCAAGCAAATTATACCTGACCAAGAGCTGTCTCTATTGAGATTAAAGGCAAAGGTATGGACCTGTACAATAGTGTTGCTTCATTCACCTCTTGCCTTTTAGTAATACTTGATGAATAGTTTTTCAAGTTGAAAGGATGTCTCATACATTCTCCTTGGTGCTGTTTCAAATGCCATGCAGTGGTTTCCGTCTCTTATGCTCTTGATAGCTATTGTTATAAGCTTCTTTACTGCAGAGTCAGCAAAATATCTTCCAACCATAATATTTGGCACTTATATGAGCTGGATTTACTTGAGATACTTTCATAGGAAACCAGAAACAAAACTAAGGGGTGATCCAAGTGATGATTTTGCATTCTCATCCTTCTTCCCTGACTTCCTCAGGTGTTTTCTCTCTCTTTTTTTTTAATACACAAGGTTTTTAGTCCATGGAATATATGAGTTTCTTTACGTGCTTCCATCTGTTTTCAGGCCAGTCATTGATCCTATTGCATCAATATTCCATCGGATGCTTTGTGGTAGATTCGAAACTTCTACTGAAGCCCACGGTTACACCTTGGGAGGTGCTCCATTGCCTGGTTCTGATCCCATCGAGGCATCTAGGAGGAGGTGAGTTTATCCACTCAATTTAAAACTTTGGATAAGCATATGTGTCCCTTTAAATACTAGGATATTGTTAAATCATCCCAATTTATTTGAACATGACACTTCAATATGATCTCTGCTGTGAAATTCTAGGATTATGTGTATTGGTATCATTGTAACAGCAGAAATGAAAAATGCATTTTAAAAAAAAATAGAAAAATGAACCCAAAGGAACAATTAAGCAGTGATACAAAGTCCTGAACACCTTCAATTACATGTAATATTAAGCACAGTCATAGTAATTAAGTTTTCACAGGTGGCAAAAAGTTATAGTTTCTGATCAATCTTTCCCCTTGCAGAGAAAGAGGAGCTAGAGCACTGGAAGAGAGATTGGCAGCTGAGAGGTTGGCCACTGCACGGAGTGCTGAAGATTTGAAAAAGGATGTCTCAGAGAATGTTTGATTGCCCGACTTCACTTTCAAACATAAAACAACAAATGCGAAATTGTATCTTTTATGACCATTTCAGAGTTTGTGCAGTACTCGGAAAGAAGTCTTTTTGGTTGGTTTCCATAGTACAGTTTCTTCATGCATATCTCTGTCGATTATCATTCTTATAGTAAAATCATTCCTGTATCCTTTTTTTTTTTTTTTGGACAATGACTCTTCTTGCCTACGACACATATAGAGCAGAAATTCTGAAGAACTATCCCTGGGATGGCTTTGCAGAAATAGATGGAGATTTTTTATCTGCCAACGGAGGTTGCTTTCCCAGAAAGATGCGTAACCATCAAGATTTTGTCGGTGGATGGGCTTTTGTTTCCAGCTAGGACCCATTTTTTATCACAGGAGTTGCAACTTTATGCCACTGTTCATTATTGGATCCCAATTTAAGATTGGTAGGCTGCTTCGAAAAATAAGGTTTGACACGAGCATTCTTTTGAATTCGCTGGGATGGACACGATGATGGAATTGGTTGGGAAGATCCGAATCTCAAGATGGCCTGTCATTTTCAGTTGCTTCCAATTTAATTGCGAACACCAAATCTTAGGAACTGTAGGTTGCATTTGCCAAACTTTCTGTTAAAAGCTTGCCCCGGTCCTCGATTCGCTGCCCCGTTCCCTCACATGGGAAAGAAATTGCGTGCCCGAAACCAGTAAGAATAAAGAAATTGCAAGATGATAAATTGGTTTGAGAGCGTGGAGATACGTCGACCAGAGGAAGAAACTTGCTGAAATAAGAAAAGTATTGGTGGATAGAGAAAGGAATCGTGTCGTTTTCAAGTTTAATCCTTGCGTACAGTAACCCCCATTGCTTCAGGCTTCCTTCTTTTTTCTTTCTGCGTTTATGTTTCTAATTAAATTAATCTTACCTCCTCGAAAAACGAAAGCCTCCACGTTTGACAATACCACGTTGATTGTGGCTTGTCTCACGAGGACTCTCCTGTTTTTAACTTTTTTTAGAAAGGTCCAAGGGGTATTCTTTCCTCTCATCAATGTTGAAACTCATATATCCCTTGCTGCATATGCAACTTCAGCTAGGCGAGGGTTACTTGGATTTCTGGTCATGGAAGTTACAATTGCTCTCCCCTAATTCCTCAAATACCCTCCTCCTCGATTCTCAAACAAAATCCTCAAATAATCAAATTCAATAAAGTTCTCAATGCTTCTAATTAGGTATGGAAAAGAAATATTACAGCCACTGGAAAAGAAAAGAAAAAAAAGAAGAACAAACTAACAAAGTACTAATTGGGATTTAATACATCTACAAGGACGAAAAAATAAAGTTCACCCGAGAAAAGAGAGAGAGAGAGACCAATGGAATCCCGCAGGAGCCAGGTTTATTGCCAAGACAGTCTCTAATTCATAATTAGCATACCTCACATTACATGCCACACTAATATATTTATACATATAACTTCCTCATTCTATAACCCACACCAACTTACAATTTTACACACGACTCTCTCTCTCTCTCTCTCTCTCCTGGCTCCCTTTACCAAACAAAGGCTTCAATCATCTCTACAAAAGGACATCTGTAATTCTCCTTTCTCTCTCTCCACCGTCTGATCCCCGTAGTCAACTTCACAATCAAACGTCTCAGGTACTTTCTTCGGCCAATTCTCTCCGTTTTTCCCTTTTCTTCTTGACCATTCTCCGTTGATTAACCTCTAATTTCCTCTTATTTTTTTATATTTCTTTTGAAATTAAACGATCCTCTTCCAATTTAAATAATCGCGTTGATTACGTTTTTTTAATATATTTTTTTTATGATCGTGTTTTTTCTCTCGCTCTCTGGATGTTTTGCTCCTCATTTTCTTTTTGCCTCGGAATTGTATTTTTGCCTGCCTTTTTGGAATTTAAATTAGGGTCTCATCGTTATCGATTTGTGTGCGTGCGTGCGGTTATTTGATTCTTTTTTAGTGTTTGTTGTGCTGATTAGATGCTGTGTTGGTAGATTATGTGTTTTTTTTTTACATAATAACCTTGAAATTTAGATTTTAGAGCTAGCACGGAACCAAATCGTATTGAAACTAGTGCGGGGTCCGATCCTCGAAAATCAAGCCCAGTTCGTGAGTTTAAAAGTTGTGGTGTTTCTATCATTGTCAATTGGTTGGTTTAATTGCGAGTTTGAAGCTCGAAGACCTCTTAGCTTGTGAAAATATAAAATTGTATTGTTGGTAGATTATGTTTGTTGGTTTAGTTGGAAAGCTATTTATTTCATGCCAAGGATTTGCATCAGACATCAACTTAGTAGGTTTTTGCGCATCGATGTTGCAATCTGATTTTGAATTTACTGATGGATAATAATTTGTTGCTTGCATGGCAGCATGTGCTGTTTCTACATGAGAATAGGCAGCATCGAATGTACTTATATTAGTATTATTTGAAAGAGAAAGGTCACTTATAATTATTTCCAGAAGGCAGTGGTGGTTGCTGCTATACCAAGGCAGTAGGAAACTATTATTCTTTCTCAATTTTCATTTGATGCAATGGCATTGGATGGAACATTAGTCAATGCCCATTACTGCATTTCTTGTCTTTTGTCTCTTATCCTCGCATATGATTTTGTGTCTCTTATTTGATTTTAAAGGATTTGGTGTGTTACAATGTGACTATGATCTCATTCTATTTTTTTTTTCATTTATCTAACAATGCAACAATAATCACCTGGTTTGGTGTTAGCAACTGTACCAGGAGTGCTTGTTTTGGTTTCATTAGCTGTGGATCTAAGGATATTATAATGGAATTACAGAGTAGAGTTGGAGCAAGTGGGATCCTGAATTATCCAAAATTAAATTAATAAGATCATATAGTTGAATATTCTCAGGAGGGCAGCAGTGTTGTTTTCTTGAAAGCTTGTGAAGATACATTACAGGTAAGATATGAAATGGTGTTTGATCATGCCCTCGGCTATGATTTTGATGACTTGGTGATTGTTTCTCAATTCTTTTCCTTGTTCATCGGTGCTTTGTTGCTAATCTGGGTTTTTTTGGAACTAGTGGCTTGAGCTGACAAATGCAGCAAATTTCATTTCTTTTCTTGCTTAGATCTGCAGGTCTGGGTGACTTCAAAGATGGATTTACTAACATTTTTTAGGGAGGCGAGGTTAGATGCTTGATAACATCCAGGTTTTCATCAGTAGGCCGGCCTAAGATCTTTGGAGATAATTCCACTTATCCAAACTTAAATTGAAAGATCAGAAGTTTGGCAAGTTTTCCTCTCTTATTAGTTGTATTCCACGATTGCTGTTCACCATACTAAGATAAATTTGTTTATCTCTATGCGAGGGTCTACATCTCTGGAATATTACTCCATAAAGACTATGCTTGCATCATGCGAAACTGTGGCTCTGTATCAATCTTTTTGCCCCTATTTTTCTGTTGTAGTTGTAACTCCCTTCCAGAGCCATTTCCTTCTCATTTTTTTTGCCTCTAGCTTTTTTGCTATTGAAGTCATTACTCCCTAGAGACTGGTGTCCTTTTTTAGTGTAAGTGAAATCATCTAAAACCAGAATGATGATTTACCACCATAATTGTATTGAAAAAGATGGAAAATCAATTAAGCATGAAGTACAAATTTTAATATCATAAATTTAAATATTGAAGTGGTCTTAAAGCTCACCCATTGTCAAAATCAAATGGATGTAGAAGAACTAGACAGTTTCCGAAGAGAAGGAAAGAAAAACAAAAAATTCTATATAAGTTGGAAGAAATTCTTGGACATGTTATGAAATGAGAAGGCATCAAGCTCCCAGATCAGGAAAATTTGTTTGGTATTTAAAATCTTGAAGTTTCATCACAGGTAAATTTGCTAATCATATGAATGGAGTAAACATTAGAATTGTAACTTTCACATACTATACCATCGAATGTGATGGAGAAGATTGTGTTGGGATTTTAACTGGATTTTCGGACCTTGTTGCTACTCTGTTTACCTATGTATTAATTTACAAGAAGAAAAATTATAAAAATATTTACCAATCATGTTATCAATTGGGTTCTGCTTTTCTCAGCTTTGTTGCTCTGAATTGAACTTTACCCTAGATTTTTTCCCACCCATCTGGAGGATGGGAACAAAATATTTTTTGCATTCAGTAGTCTTGTCAAATAAAAATATCAAGGCATCCTAGGGAGCAGGTACGGTTTTTCTGAAGAGGTTTTGGAGGAAATATTTTGTGCCTGCTTCTGTTGGAGAAGCTATTTTTCCTAATGCTTAACTAAGTGAAGTCATCTCTTTCTTCTTCTCAATCAATCCTGTTCCTTTTATTCCCTTAGTGTTTGATATTGCTATAATCATTTGCTTCAGTGAGAGGAAGGCTTAAGTGATGAATGAGGACATGAGTACTGCAATGGTTCCTCTTCTCAAAGGAATTCGTGTATATTAACTTATTTGGAAGTTTTCATGCAGAAGGATGGTGTTCTAAGTTTTAAATATTTTAGTTAAGTCTTTTGCTGTCGTATTTAGGATATGGTGCATGAAAGTGCTTTGTTACATCTGAGTTATCTAGTTTCATACATAATTTTATATATTCATAAACTAATTGAAGCTTCTTGCAGATACTTTTTCAGTTTATTTCTCTTTTACCATTCCAAGGGCTCAATGCAGATGTAATGGAGCTAATAAAATTGTACCATCCTATGGGTAGGCGGCACCTCTTTGGTGCTTTTCCCATTTCTCCACTTCTAATCATCAAAAGAATAATAATGTTTTTGCCCTGCTCTGGGTTTCTCCATCCTCCTATAGGTATAGATGGCCAGCGAATGCAGGTTAATTGATGCTTTACATATCTGTTTTTGATTTATTAGCAGGTACAGGTGAGCAAGGAACTGGTCTCCAGAGGATCTCTCTCTCTCTCTCTCCACATTCCTTAAAGCATTTCTGTTTTGCCAAACAATCTTCAGTCTTGAAGCATGCATAAGCTTTATGCATCCTGTCTATAGAGTCACTAAATCTCTTAGCATTTCTATGAGGTTTAAGGTTTCCTAAGTAGAGCCTTTGAAAACAGCCGGAGCCCTTTGCCTCAGCTCTTCTTATATGTACTTCCTTGTGTTCTTTAATTAAAATCATTAGTCACAGCCAACTAAATTTTAAAAGATTTCTGCAATTTGGTTTATAGGAAGTTTATCTTTTATTGTTATAAGTATTGATCTAAAGTGCAAGTGGTATTGCCTTGCAGGCACTTATGGTCTCATTGATCACTTGAAGGGGATTTTCATTTTTGAATTCCTGTATTTCACATAAATTTCATGAATACATGCAGCTGCAATAATGTGCTAGAAATGAATCCTTGTCCTGGGAGATCAAACTGTGGGGCCTCCTAGATGTATTACTCTGATTTGAGGGTTATAGTCTCTTCACATTGGGGATAACTACAAAATTGCCTTACGATTCAAGGCCTGAAGATTTTTCAATACTCCAATTAATCTTGTATAGTGCAGTTTCATCTGAAGGATGTTGTGAGCTTAGAATTAGTTTCTGTACCAAATACAACTAGTGTGGATGGAGTGAGCATTTTAGGTCACTACATTGAAAAGTGAAAGGGCTCTTGGGATCTTCTTGTGCATTTGAGTGATAGTAATCTCACATCACTGAGGTTACTATCTTTCACAATGTGATGTTTATTTAGAGTGGCTCGCCTTTTGAGGCTCTTACCAAAAAAAGAGATCATCAAGTTCTTGTTCCTTATGGTGATAGGTTTGTATTTGAAGAAGTGTCTGGCGGCATGGTTTGCGGAGACTTGCTTGATGAAGAGGAGTATTTCATTGCATAGTGGAATTCTGATGGTAGTACAGAAGATATAACTTGTCAGGATTGGGAGAATGATGGTTGTTTCCTGGATTTGAGACATCTCCATTGAAATGCTAAAGTGAGAGAAAAAATGTGAAATAAGTTGCTGGAATCCCTCATAGATGTTTGGAAAAATGATTTTGTCTCAGTTATCTGAAACGTTATTTGATTGCGGCGGCATTTTGGGACACGATGTGTTTCTGAGGGGATGTTATTCTATGTGCTCCTTTAGATGTTCTCTTCGTTTATATGGCTGATGTGATGCCATTTGTCCATAACAATATGCTGTCAAGATAGTACTTTGGTGCATCTAGGTTGTTGCAGCCTTCACATAATTTTCCAATCCAAAGCAATTCAGTAGTATTTCTATAGCAAGCAGTAAAGGCTTTTCTTTTGAAGGGCGAAGTTTTACGTATCTGTTTTTTTAACTTCGACAAATTTGCTAATCTGCTACTAGGGATGAAGACGTGGTACATTGCCTGTAGAATCCCTTATCTACAGAGAGAGAGTCACAATTGGACTTTTGAGTAGTAGTTATTTAGCATATAAAGACAGGATCTGGATGTATGTAACCATTTTTCTTTTTCACACATTTTCGTTTCCTTCTTGATGATGTAAGATATGAGGGCCTTATTTTCCCTTCTTCTAATACTATTGTTCTGTCATATTTTTCTTGGAATTTTCTGTGTTTTCCATAGGATTTTTGTCCCAGGAACAATGTATAAATTGCAAGCCTGCTTATTTAAGAGGCATTAAGACAGAATGAACTAGTTATTGTTCCCAGTTTTTTGTTATTTTGTTTTATGGCAGTAGGGGATCAGTAGAAGTTCATTTCTCTTGAATTTGTTAGTATGATTTCTGTTTTCTCAGACCATGGATTTTAGTTGTTCATATTTTTTTCTTAGAAGTTCACTTTTTTTCTTTCTTGTTCTGGATGTGATTTTATTTTCATAAATTACCTTCCTCAACTCTGTTTTTCTCTCTTTGCTTGTTTCCATTAGAACAATACTTATGTTTCTCAGTATTGCATGGCATTTTTTTGGAACTTTCATTGAGTGTTTGCTTTGTGAAAAAGTTGTGTTTTATTATTTATTTATTTATTTTTATCATAACTCAATTCCTGATGGTAAAAATCATAGAAACATAACCTATTATTATAATTGAAAAACAAGAAAATCTGTCTTCTTAGTATGTTTCCCAAATTTGAGACAGCCTGTTTTGCATGTCTCTTGTCATTTCAATGTAGTCTCTTTTGGTTCCCAAAGCTTAATTACTATAATTTGACCCTATTTTGCACTTCATTTTAGGAGTTGCTTGAGTGAAAGCTTATATGGAGGGTTCTTTTTTTTCTTTTCTTTTCTTTCTTCCCTTTTTGAGGGGATCTAATTTTTGTAGTTAATCACTTGACATGATGAACTCATTAGCGAACTTTTTCTTGATTTAGCAGGAAATTGGTACATGAATCAAATGGATAGAACTTTTAGAAATGGCTAAAATTGTACTGACTGTGATTATTTTTTGACTTCTGTTTATCCATCTTATTAATGAACAGCTTTGCTGAAGAAATTCAAATGAATACTATAAATGTCATTTAGTCATTTCTTCAACAATATTTTCAAGCATTCTGGTTTTAAGGGCTTGGGCTTTCTGACATAGTAGGTATATAATATATCTAAGTTTGATCGTCATTAGTTAATAAAGTTTTGGAGACAAAGCTTAGTATCATGCCTGCTTAGATGACATGTAGAAACTGATGTATAATTTGCAGAACACATACTTGTTCATACGGGACTGCTCTGATAATTGTAGATGACTTTTATGCAGGTGGTTCTTCCTCTATTCTGAATCCAGAGCTTAAATTATCTTCTGGTCTAAGGGGTCATGGGACATAGACAAATGTTCAACCCTTCTCAATTCTTCGAGATGGAGCAGGATTGGAGCCATGGCCACCCAGCTGCTGGACAGTCCTATGTTCATATGGGTATTTTACTTCGTATTATGTTATTCAATAAAAATGCCTTTTGTAAGTAAGTATTTGGGTATTGTACTACGTTTTATGTTATTCAATAAAGATGCCTTTTGTCTATTGGTATTTCTTCAATACCTTGCACCAATGATGTCCAACTTTTGTTGAGATTGCCGGTGGGATGTAGATCAAGGGTTTGAATCTATCAATGATTATTCTAAGGGGAAACTTTCATTAATTCATCGCTTTAGTAATCTTTAACCAGGAAAATAGCTGCATTTAAAGATATGCAACACTTCCAGGTGCAGTATGAAGATTATAGGGTTTTCTTTAAAAAAAATCCATGGCCCAATTGAAACAACACTCCTTATTTTTTGCCATCAAGAATACTGGTGGAATTTGAATTATCATTGATATCAAGTGTAAAATTAACTGAAGCTGTCCATTGTGTTTTACCTGGGAGTTCAAACCTACTGCATGCCTTTCAGGTTTTTAGGGAACTGATATTGCTCTTTTATCTGCCGACTGCTTACAACATGGCTTAGCCTTGCCTTGAAAGCTATTTAAGTTCTGAACAACGTTGTTGCAGGAAGGGCTGTTTCTCAAGAAAATGGTTCCTTTTCTCATCCTATCAATCCTCCTTCAATAGATGGACCCAGCTGTGCCTCTCGGCGGAACCTGGAAAGCAGAGCTCTTGAGCATTCCTCTACATATTTCAGGTCAGAAGGTCCACAAGTTCACGCTCCCCTTTCTGCCCCCCGACATGACGTATTCCCACACTGTCCAGCTGGTGGAAGTTTTTACCCTCCTCCAGAGCTCGATGCTACCCATGTTCATTCTAATCACCACAACAGGCATGGTATCCATGAAGGTGAGGGTGGTCTACTTGATCATACAATGAGTGCTGGAAGAGGGCCATTCAAAAGAAAAAGCCCTGGTGTTCCTACCTCGTGGGAAAGAGGTGGCACCAGCAGTATGTACAGTGCAGGAAGTTCCTCCAATTCTTTTGAACTTCACCATGAGAAACCAACTTCAGATTATAGAAATTACTTTACAGAATCCTCTGGTTTACCTCCCTATATGGGTAGCAGCCTGTCAATTGGGGGTGAAGATCCTCCAAGGAATGTGAGAAGCAGATCTAGACTTGATTCGGAGCCCAACCCAAGAAGAACCCATTCATCAAGTTACACGTCCCATCCTTTTTCTTCAACATCTCATCTCCGAAACCATTCAGGGCCAGTGGATGTTGCTAACTTGAATGCTGACAGAACTGCTTATGAGCAGAACCGAATTGGTGTTCCACCTCCTGCACATGGGAGGTTTCATACTTCAGGTCAGTTTAAGATATATTGCTTTCTAACATCTACTCCTAGTTTTTCCCAAATTCCTAGGTAATTGTAATTTATAATTTACAATTGCAGAAAATAATTCCTTGAGCCATGAGATGAATCAGCATTATGCTGGAGGGAATCCTACTGATATTCGTCGGTACAACCATGATTCCATCTTAAGCAGAAATCCCATTGCACCACCACGACATCTTCATGGTTTTCATGCCCAGGCTTCAAGGGAGGGTCAGAACAGTTATTCTCGAAGAGCTATACCTACACGTCGGGCTGATACAAACTCCTCTCATCTCAGACAAGAAGTTGCTGCTGTCGAAAATGGTCAGCATTTTCTTTCAGAAACCCATAGTTCCAGATATTCAAGACCACTTTTGTCTGGAGGTTGGCACAGCAATCATAGAGAAGGAAGGTCAAGGATATCAATTGAGAGATTCCAGTCACTTTCAAATGTGGTGGATGTGCGTGATAGAATGGGATCTGAGGTGTGTGGTAATCAATTGTGACTTGTGCTATGGTTGGGGCTAGAATTTCATTCTGTTTTCTTTAATTTTCTTTCCTTTTTTTTTGTTGTGCAAGTGCACGTCATGCTTGTTGGTGTGATTTACTTGTTGGTGTGATTTACACGTAATCACGAGATTGCAAGTCATAAGAGTGCAGGATGCTTCTGAGCTTTTTAAATTAGCCATTCACATCATATTTCTTTCACCTCTATGCAATGTGCATGTTTCTCCTCAAAACAAGAAGTTTTTCCCTATTGGGTTTATATGTGATGGTTCTGATGCAGTTCATCGCCTGCTCACATATTTATTTTACGTTTGCAGGCTCTTATGATGTTAGATCACTCATATTTATATGGCTCCAGAAATTTCTTTGATCAATACAGGGACATGAGACTGGATGTTGACAGCATGAGTTATGAGGTTTGTAATTTCAGGAAATGACTTTTTTGACTGGCAGTTTTCTTGTTTCTCCCGAATTAAAACAATCAGCTATGTCGCCTGGACAGGAACTACTTGCTCTAGGAGAAAGGATAGGGAATGTCAACACAGGATTGCCTGAAGATGTGTTTTCAAAGTGCTTGGTGGAGACAAGATGCCATTCTTCAGACAAAGCCCAGGAAGAAACATCCTGTGCTATCTGCCTTGTAAGTAATAGTTGCATAAATGGTGATTAATTTGCATCTGAGTAAACCTTAAGATATAGGCAATAGGTATCGTTAAGATTAAGCTTGACAAGAACAATATCACGATTCATGATCTTGAATGGTGTAAATGTACTCCTCTGGAAGTATAAATCAGAACACAGGGCAGGATGCCCGTGTGAACTAATTTGTTTCCTCTACTTAACATTTATGCACCTTGCTGGCAATTGCAATTGACAGGAAGAGTACAAGAGCATGGATAAAGTTGGAATGATAAAGAACTGTGGACATGTTTATCACGTTGACTGCATCAAGAAGTGGTTGTCAATGAAGAATATGTGCCCCATCTGCAAAGCACCTGCTGTTGCTGATGGTTCGATCAAGGAATGATTTGCTTTTACTTCCTATTTGATCTTGTTCACTTGATCTTGTATATAATAATTTGCAGACGGGATTTGATGACCATTTATAAAAATTTAATTTAAGCTCAGCCTTCGATAGTTTGATCCAAGTCAAGCACGATAAAATGCCAAGCCAAGCATTGAATCACAACTGTAAATAATTTATCTGCTTCTATATAAAACCAAAATAGCTTTTCATTGACTTAGAAAAACTTTCCATGCAACTTTGTAGACGTTATTTCTATAATAATTACAAGAAAGAGATATCACTCGTTTAATCAGAAAAGGCAACGGACAGAACTATCCTGACAAATGATGCGGGTTTGAGTTCTTAAATATTCTTTCATACAAGTATCCAGACTGACTCCAGACTCCTCCCCTAAACCCTTAAGAGCAACAGCGTGAAGTGCTAACGCTTTCTGATGGCATCAAAGACACGAGGAGCTCGCAGCTCAACTCTCAAATGCTTCTCCAGCATAATACTGTTCCTGGACCTTCCTTTTGTAATCTGTGACAATAGACAGCTCTTCAGTTCATCATGCTGATATAGAAGAACATATAAACAGAAGCTCGAGCATAACATATTCATAGCAGTTCTTTTTTATGTTTAAACAAAAGAAAATTATCTTAGACATGAAGATGGGATATCTGACCTTCCTTGTTACTCCAGAGTTCGGCAGCGTAGCTGTTCAAGGGACTATCCGGGTTGGTTCTGCGTGAAGAACTAAATAGTTAGGCAAAACCAGAAATACGGACAAAGTTTAAACATGTACGCAAGTCCGAGCAGACCTCCCAATAGACTTTGAATCGATAAAAGAATGGTTCTGCAATCATAAGCTGAAGACCACTTGTCCTATGAAGACAAACAGAAAGGAGCTCGTTAGTTAAATGAGAGAGACATGTAAAAACAAGGCAACTAATTTCTATGTCGTGTGGATAAGGAGAGCTCGCTTCGACGGGAAGGACTGGACTTTGGCAATATCAGCGGGTTCAAACATCCTCAAATAAATTGGTTTCACCTAGTCTCAATATCATTTTAACATCTGCCATCTCCTGCATCCCTTTACCTGGAGAATATCAAGGCATATGTTCCCAAATTGATCAACATTTGGATGGAAGCACATCGTCTCAAATTTGATCTGGGGAGGTTTGAAAGGGTAGTCTAGGGGAAAATGTAGAGAGAGCTTGTACGATAATCCCTCATAGGCAGTTCCCTCTCCACCCGCAATTGTACCAATCCATGCAAAAATGCTCTCGCCTTCAGGAAAAGCTGACACTCCAAGATCTCCTCCAATCATCTGCAGAAACAATATAAGATAAGTCCAGACCATCATCAATTGACAGGGTAAAAAACATAACTCGATTTTAATTTCTGCAATTGCGTGTGTATTATAAACCTCTTCTAACCCCACTCGAAGGGATTTCTTTCCACTATAGTCATTGCCAGAAACACGATGCAACAGTCCACCGAAAAGTGCAACAGTTCTAATGCAGTGGATAAAATCAAGACTGGTGACCAGATTGAACATTAAACATAAAAAGTTGATCATTTTTTACAGGCAAGAAATAGTAAAGGAAGGATTTTTACGTACCATGAGAGACATTAATTCCTTCTGTAACCTGAAAAACACAATAATCAAACAGAACCCATTAAGATCATTTCACTGCCGTAAAAAACAAAAACCCAAGAAACAAAATATCTGATACTAATAGGTTTAAAGCTTCTATCTTTCTATTAATTCAAAGAGACCCAGAAGAAGAAAATCAAAATTAACAAACGTTTTTTTCTTTTCTTTTTTTTCCCCAAGATTCCTCAGGAAGCAAGCAGAAAACTCAAGAAAGCGAGACCTCTGAGAAACGGAGGTGGTCTCAAATGTGTTAGAAGGAACAACAGGTTGCTTCGAAGGAGTTGCTGGTACATGTCGCCGATACTGCGTCGAGCTATCGACCGTCTCATTTGGCCTAACCTCCATGACGTATTCTTACAATTAAAAGAAAAATCAACCAAGTAGATTCTTGCAATGATCAAAATCAAGGGTTGCTATGCAATCAACAAATTAATCAAGTTCTGGTTTTTAACTTTCGATTCTCTTTCAGTATTGTTGCTGAGAATTAGTTGAACCGTGGTGGTGATGGTGTTCGAATATTTTTTTAAAAAAAAAGGGGAGTGAGAGTATACATAGCACACAGCCTGCCACGACATGCCCTGTTGAACAGTTTTAAATTCTAAACCATCCTAAATATCTATCTAGCTGAATCTTTGAAATTCTTAGCATAAAAAATCGAATTATAATCTATAATGCGTTTATATATTTTTTCCTGTTAATTTTTTATTAAGCAAACCTTAAAATATCGCCCAAGTCTCAACTTTGCATCCAAATTGTTTTTTTAAATTAATTTTATCATTAATTCTCAATCAAAGACTTCTATATAATCTTAAGGTTTTTCATCCATATTTTTATTTAAATTATACTTTAATATGTAATAAATAACATTATTTTATAATTAAAACTTTTTTACAAATGTTCTAGTATATGTTTTAATTAAAATAATATCATGGGGCCTTGGTTTTTGTCTCTCTTTCCACTGTTGAAAAAGAAAAGGTACTGCAAGATGTCCACAAATAAAATCATTTTTCGAACTCAAGCACAGCTAGAGTAATGGATTTAGCCAGGTGGCAACTTCCCTGTGCTGATAAATGCAAGGGATGATGGAATCTTCAAGGAAAACCACAAGTAAGGGGGCAGAGTCAAAGCAATTTTTAATCATTTCTTTTTTGAAAATGAATCTCCAATAAAAATATATAAAAAAAAAAACACATTTTATGCACAAATAAAGTTCGAATCATGCTTTATTATGAATGAAGAAAGAAAATCATCAACTTTCAATGATAACAGGAGTGAGGATTCATAGAGAGAGAAAGAGAGAAAGAGAGAGAGAGAGGATTTATCTACAAATGTTTTTGTGCCCTCTGCCCCTAACCTTATAGGGCTTCTTTGTCACTGGGCCTCCAAATCTTGCTTATGGGTTTCTAAGCTTCAAGCATTTCTTGTTATTGCAATACATGGAAGCAGAATTCAACAGAACAAAATAAGTGCTTTGGAGACGGAGACGGTTCTGCTCATGAGACTGTCAAGGAAATAATTTTTAACAGAGGCCATCTTTATCAAAAGCCCAAGCCCTGCCTGCACATCCTACAGCACGATGCTAGCATATTCGTTCCTGCTTCGTTGCAATCGGGCTATTTTAAAATAAATATTAAAAATATAAAGATTTTTTTAATTGTATTATTAAATTTTAAATTAAATTTCAAATTAAATTATATGGAAGCTGATCTTAAAAAAACCATTTAATTTAATAGGTTTAAAAACAACTTGAATGATTAGTAAAAATAATGATTTTTAAAAAAACTTAAAGATAACAAAAAAAAATTATTGAAATGATATCAGATTAAATCAATCTCAGTCACCCAAGAATCTGGGTTATGAACTTCAATGAGTTTAATAATTTTATTATTTTTATAAATTATTTTTTATTTAATTTTTATAATAATATTATATGCTTGCAAAATCAAACACCAACTCTAGAAAAAAATATTTATTTGAGATTGTGATAACCCTATGAAAAGTTAAAAAAATAAATTATGAATTTTATTTCCTAACCAGTCAAATATTGAAAAAGAGTGAAATAAAAAAACAATTAAAAAAATTAAAAGATCAAAAATAAAAAAAATATTAGATTTGATAAGTAAACTCGTGAATCGAAGAACCTGAGCCAACACATCAAACCCGTAAATCAAGTTATGGACTCTATTGATTAATAACTTTTTTTTTCTAAACTATAGTTTATTTAACTATATGATAAAAAAAAATTAACGATTGCAAAATTAAGCATCAAACCAATATTAATTTTTTTTAATAACTATGATAACTTTATAGAAAACAAATAAATAAATAACTCAATTATCAAATTGTTTAATATCAAAGGATAAAATGAAAAAAATAATTCTTTTAAAAAAATTAAAATCACTAAACTCATCATTAGGTTCATGGACTTTTTAAAATTTAATAACATATCTTTTTTTAAACTATTTTTTTAACGATATGATAAAAATAAAAATAAATAATTATATAATATTTTTTAATTAAAAAAAATATCCTGCCAAACTCGACAAGAGTTGCTTCATCAAACTTGTAAATTAGATCATTGACTTCATAAAATTTAATAATTTAAATTTTTTAAAATTATTTTTTATTTAACTTAACGTTTTTAAAAGTAGACTTGTTGCATGTAATATTTTTTTGATATATATAAAGAGAAAATAAAAATAAATCACCAACTCTAAATCACTGTAAATATATTATAATAGATTAAATTGAAAAAAATTAATAACCAAAGAAAAAAAAGTCAAAATACAAAAAAAATAAAAAAATAAACACATTATAATCCATAGCGCTATTGGAAATGCTAAACCTTGTAGCTTTATACTGAATACACTTACATTATAAGACGTCTGGTTTTTTGAAAGGGTTCTATATAGCAACACGGGGAGAAAAATAATGTTTCAAAAAAGAAAAAAAGAAGAAGCAACAAAACTAATGCCTTAAACCATCCCTGCCTGTGCTGCTTTCAAGTTCCTATACTCTTTCTTTCTGGCCCAAGTAGGTTTCTATTTTCTCATTTACAAGGAATGAACACATGACACGTAAACAACAATTGGAGCACAACAAATCCTGCATGCATCTGCCATCACTTTCTAAATGTGAAATCACGAGCACTGCCGAGGTTAATTTCATGCTGCTGAGAATGGATGGGGCCTGGCCCTGGAGGCAATTGGACCGGGTTTGGATCTTGAGTTTCTATGACCCGGACTTGGTCCCTAACATCAGGACTACCATGGTGTACAGACTCATTGAGTTCATGGTCGTGTACAGAATTTGCTTCAGGATCCCATTGATCATTGTTGTCATAATAAGAATGCCTTGGAGAATTCTGGAAACTATCAGGAGCAGTGCTGCCACGGAAGTTGTGCAAGAGATGAACAGGCGACATGCCATGAGCGGGAGTTTGTGGTCTGCTTGACATTGGT